CTTTACTCATGTCGTTTACATCTATCTATTTTCTATCTATTTTCGTCATTCACATTCACATCAGCCTTTCTATCTATTCTTATATTCATACATGCGTACAGTGAATGAGGGAAACGTTAATTAAATGTTTGCTGAAGTGAAAACATCGATACGACGTTATTATTATTTTTTAAGTATTAATTAATACATACACTGATTTCTAAGCTAATTCGTATCAAATTAAATTTATGAATAAAGCAAAATCTTACTCTCTGTAAAATGTTAATGTTCCTTAGCTGATAAAGGGATGGATAGAGTAGATACGATAATAGATAAAATGTAATAAAATAGATAAAAACATCTCCACACGCCCCTATAAATCGACGGTACGCTACCCCCGATTTCAAAAACAAAACCGACCACGAAGAGCCATCGTTAAAAGACCTGTCACGAGTATAGTCTCTAGTCTGAAGCGCTACATTTAACCCCTGCTATACGTTCATCTCTATCAGATGAAAAATAACCTTCATCGCTACCCTTTTTAAGAAATCGACATTATCATTCATACTTTATGCTGACACGTACACGCGGCCTTACACACACTCAACGCACTCAAGACAACATACACAAGATCCGAGGCTGGTGAAATCACACGGACACATGGCAGGAAGTCCAAGGGAACATCGACAGTAATATAATGCATGGCAAGGGACACCCACAGAGACCATGATGAGACAGCAAACTGGTTGGACGTGAGACATCTACTGGGCATCACAGAGTCCTTGGTGATGTATCTGGTGAGGCAGTGAATTTAGAATGGTTTTACTAATAATTCTTCACGGTGACGTTGTTTTAAACAAGGCACGAATATAAACATCTTATATCATACATATATTTCATAATCGCTTAATAGGCATAGGATTCGGCAAACAGACCTACGTTTTCAGCCAGTCGTCACTAGTCTCTTTAGTTAATATTAAATTTCTATTCTGTCTTTGTCATATTCCCGACTAATATTCCATTTTGTTCCTACTGTTTATCGTTCAACCAGAAACCTATTTTTGATCACAATTTCCAAACATAGTTTATGTATAGCTACTGGTTTTAAAGAATATCCGTCTGACTTATTTTCGATCACAATATTCAGTTATAGTTCATGGTTACTGATTTTACTCGTTTTCCGTATGACTCCCTACCCTTTATTTCTGTCCGTCTGTTCGTTCTCTTTTCGTTACTTCACATTTTTTCACCTCATTCCATTCATTCATTCATCTTCTATCTCGCATTACACTTTCTCATTTCCATTTCATCCTCTTTCTCCGTTCCGCCAGATCTCTCTCTCATTTCCCCATTTCCTCATACTTTCATGTTCCTTTTCGTTCCCCGTTTTCATTCCAGTTCAAAAGTATATTAATTTGATTAACATTTATCTTCTTTTGTTTTCTTTCCTCTAATCACCGAATCCTCAGCCAGTTTCTCCAATCCGTTTTCGCAATCTGTTTTCTCTTTCTCCCTTTTCTTCCTTTCTTTCATCCAATCCCCAATCTGTTTCTTATTTCTCTTCTCTGCGTCTCCCTTTTCCTATGGAATTGTGGCATCTTATTCCAGATTTCCAATCCTCTCTTCAATGTATGCCTAAGATGGCGGTTGTAGGTATATATTTATATTCTTCCCCCCAAAAAAAAAAGAATTCCTCCCTCAATTTCCCCTAGAAATTTCCCTGGAAAATGATAAATGTTGTCTATAGAATTATTTTCTCGTGCTTTCATTTTTTTTTTTTTTTTTCTTAAAACCATTCCTCTGAACCATGATTGCTCTAGAAATTCCCCTAAGAAGATATTTCCCTACAGATACTGTTTTCACAAAATTTCCTTAAGCTGTATTTCCCTAAAAGCACCTTGCTTACACTTTTTTTTTTTTTTGTCCCTAAGAATCACTTTCTTGAACCATAATTTCCCTTAAATTTTTATTTGCTTTCACCCTCAACGAGTCATCATTTCCCTATTTTCCTAAATCGTAATTTCCCTAGAAGCACTCCCCTGATTCCCTAGACATACTATGCTAATCCATTATTTCCTCTAAAATCTCCCCTGTTGAGGCTTGACTTACCTAGAAATATTCCCCTAAGCCCTAAATTCCCTACGAATACATCCCTAACCATGAATATCTTAGAAACACCAATGCCTCTGTGTCACAATATCATTAGAAAATTTATTTCACTACATCGAGTCATGCGCTTCCTGGAACACTCCTTATGCTACGATTTCTCAAGAATCCTAATCAGCTGTTATCGCTATCATCCTCATCACCTTCCTGTTTTTTTACACCTTGTCTCTGGCTAATTCACATTCCCTCGTCTTTTCTTTTCTCTTTTCCTCCTCTTACCTTGAACCGCATCATCAATGATAAAAAATATATATTTAAAAATCTAGTAATGCATTCGAACGCGCGGACACTGATCTTCGCCTTTGTGACAGTGAACAAAAAAGACTATGTCTATTATCTACTTAAAGTGACACGGGACAAAGAAACTCAGAGGGTCGCGTTGGAGTATTATCTGTAATAGTGAGTGATATTGTGTACTTGTTGGCGCTTTACGAAATGTTAAATGTGTAATGGACAGTGGCCTATTCCCGATGTTTAGGACACTGACCCTTCTACCGCAGTGACATCTGGCGGCGGTGGGTCCAGGCAGCTTCAGGGGGGGGGGGATGGGGGCGGGGGTGAGGGGATGGGGGCGGGGCTGGGGGTATCAAGGAAGTGTCAGATGCCATAATTAGGGGGTAGTATTTTAGAGAGATTTACCGAGCATTTTCAGCGTAAGTTGTAGCATTTTGGTGTTGATTAAAATAGGACAACATTAAGTAAGAAGTCTTGGTTCTCATGGTGCTTCAGTGGAAAAACAGGTACACATTCGTATACATGGAAATTTACAAGGCATTATGTCTATGAATTATGAATTATGCTCATGTTCTCACAGTTAACATTTTGATATCAATGTTTACATATCTTTTGTATTTTGTTTTTTATTGATCCTAAAGAATGATTAAAGATTTCTTAACTTACGGAGCTTACTCGAAATCCTTACTTTAGTGTAGTTACATATTTACATACCAATATTCTATACTTTTCAATTCCCAATTAGATTGTAGTTACTTATATCACAAGTCGATATCCAACTCCCTACGTCACCATCACCTTGAGTCACGTCACCTGACTTTTGAAGAGAAATCACTATCGTATTGTGACTCACCATCGCAAGAAAATGACAACGACCAACATTTCACGACGAAAAAAAAAAACGAAGAAAAAATCGTCACTACATATTCTCATTTCACTATCATCATATCATGATCACATCATTTGCCAAGATGTTGAAACTTCATAGATATCATTACCATGGAACGTCCATCATGTCATCCTTATAGCATAGCCACCATACATTCACATTCACTATATTTTCATCATTGCTTGAAGAGATATATTATCTCTGATGTAACACCATAACATAAAACATTTTATCCACAATATCATAATACATGAACATTGATTATTATACAAATAGCACTCACTGTACTTTATTCATCGTATAGACTACGTTCATTATACTTTCACTATTACTTAAAACCATACTCACAATGTATTCACTATAGGTTCACTAAAAACTAAACCACAATTTCATCATGCTTTCACTGTCTCATGAACCACGCTTGCATTCGATTAACTTCAACATAAACCACATTCTCACTATACATTCACCATAAACCACACTCTCCCTATACATTCACCCTAAACCACACTTTCACTATACATTCACCATAACATTTAAAGCCCTCGTTACATCATACTCGAACTAGTTGTCAATACACAATCACACCATACTTTAGCTTTCACATACAGCAAAGTCTCACTATACGCTCACTATTCAGAAAATCTCAAATTAAATCTATTTTTACTATAACTTCCATTTAGCCTTCACTATAGCAAAATACAATTTCAATACACTTGCACTGACACAAAAATAACACTCACTGTACCCTCACTATCCTGTAAATCCGCAATATCACCATACTTTCACTATCACGAATCTCTCCCTAAAATTACTTACATAGATCACTGTAAATCACATAAATCTCTTACACTATATTTTTATATTCACATTAACCACTCTCTTATATATTTCGCTATCATGTGAACCGCTCTCTCACCATACTTTCACTATCGCCTAAATCAATATCATCATACTTTCACAATCAGATTATATTTTCACCATTACGTATACTACTCAGTCGCTATACGTTCGCCATTACATGAATCACCATCTCACCATACTTTCATTATCGCTTATTCGATACTTTCACCGTACTTTCACAATCAGATTAACCACTTATGTATTCACTACCACAATAAACTCACTATATTTTCACTGCCGCCTTAACAACGGCCTCACCATACTTTCACAATCAGATTAACCACTTTCCCATGAACTACTCTCACTATACTTTCACTATCGGTGAAGCAACACCCTCACTATACTTTAACTTTCCCATTAACCACTCACTCACTATACTTTCACTATCGCTGAAACAACACCCTCACTATACTTTCACTTTCCCATGAACCACTCACTCACTATACTTTCACTATCGCTGAAACAACACCCTCACTATACTTTCACTTTCCCATGAACCACTCACTATACTTTCAATATCGCTGAAACAATACCCTCACTATACTTTCACTTTCCCATGAACCACTCACTATACTTAGACTATCACTGAAACAACACCCTCACTATACTTTCACTTTCCCATGAACCACTCACTATACTTTCACTATCACTGAAACAACACCCTCACTATACTTTCACTATCGCTGCGACAACACCCTCACTATACTTTCACTTTCCCATGAACCACTCACTCACTATACTTTCACTATCGCTGAAACAAC